TCTGTCTCAAAAAAAAAAAAAAAAAAGGAATTATTTTATAAAATGAAACCCATTTATAGTTTATAGAAATTAAGGGTCAGCAAATCGGGGACATGTCCATCTTGGGAACAGGAAAAGTATCACACATGTCTTACTTGCCTTTCTTTTCAAGCCTGTTATACCAAAACCCTACCGGTGGATGTATAAATTAGCATTACTGATAAGGAAGACAATTTAGTAATATGTATCAAAAGTTTCTTCTTTTTTTTTGAGATGGAGTCTCACTCTGTAGGCCAGGCTGAAGTGCAATGGCATGATCTTGGCTTCCTGCAACCTCCGCCTCTTGGGTTCAAGTGATTCTCCTGCCTCAGCCTTCCGAGTAGCTGGGATTATAGACGTGCACCACCAGGCCTCGCTAATTTTTTAATTTTTAGTAGAAATGGGGTTTCACCATGTTGGCCAGGCTGGTCTCGAACTCCTGACCTCAGGTGATCTAACCGCCTTGGCCTTGAAAAGTGCTGGGATTATAGGTGTGAGCCGCCGCAGCTGGCCTTTCAAGGTTTCATTTGTACATGCATATCTTTCAGCTCAGCAATTCCATTTCTAGGAATTTATCCAGGCAATCATTTGAAATGTCTGTATAAGTGTATCCACAAGGATGGTTGTAAATTGGATTGCCTAGAACAGTGCTGCCCAGCAGAACTTTCTGCAGTGATGGAAATGCCCTTTGCTTGTGTTGCCCTATAGGTAGTCACCAACCACAAGTGGCCACTGAGTATGTGCGATGTGACCACTATGACTGAGGAACCAAACTTCTAATTTTAATTTAAGTATCCGGCATGGCTAGTGCTACAATATTGCACAGTAGACAACTATACCATTGGATACAGGAAATTACATTAAACATGTAGTTAGTTTCTAATTTCCTGCATTACCCAATGGTCTAGTTCTATGCTGGGCAATCTTGTAGCAACTAGTAATATGAAATAGAATAGAAAGCAGCTTCAAAAAATGATGTAACATGGTATGCTGTCAATAACATTTCATTTACAGGAAAAAAGCAGATTCCAAGCAGCAGGCATGGTATGATGTTTTTATAAATAAAAATCTAAGCACTGTCTAGAATCATTAATTGTTAGCCGTGGGCAGTAAGATGACGGGATGTTTCTGTCTTCTCTTGTTTTTTGAAACAGTCTTACTCTGCACTCAGAGTGCCCAGGCTGGAGTGCAATGGCGCGATCTTGGCTCACTGCACCCTCCGCCTCCTGGTTTCAAGCGATTCTCCTGCCTCAGCCTCTCGAGTAGCT